AATCTGCATTAATTTGGTCCAATTTACACGGTCAAATGCCTTCTGCCAGTCTATAAAGCAAGCACACAGTTCTTCATCTATCTCCAAACTTCATTCTGCTATAATTCTCATCATCCCAATTGCATCCCTGGTTCCTTTTTCTGTTCTAAATCCAAACGGATCCTCTCCAAGTATATCCTCTATTTTCCTTTCAATTCTTCTTTTAAGTATCTTTGCTATTATCTTTGCTGTATGTGCCATAACGCTTATTGTGCGATGGTCACTGCATTTTGTAGCTTTTGTCTTTTTCTTTAAGGCAATCATTGTCACTTCTGTAAAGTCCTTGGGCCACTCCCCAGTTTCATATATGGTGTTTATTAGTTTTGTCAGTGTTTTCAAACCACCTTGTCCCAGTAACTTAAGCATCATCTTCCAAAGATGAAAGTGTGACTGAATTATAATTTGACGAACTTTCTGATTAAATTAAAAAGGTAGAAAGTAATATGCATGTAGTGAAATAAATACACCTTTCAAATTTTTTCGTGAAACCCTCATTTAAAAATTGAATGCATCTTAAATTCGAGTCTTATATTCAAAGTAATATGGTATATTATATAATTACAGGAATATTCCAGCTGACAGAGACATACCCAGACTTAACAAAATTAATACAATTTTAAAACTATTGAACTGGTGAGAGAAGAGAAACTATTAGTAGTAGCAGTGCCATCAGCAATCCCTGTAATGTATCTTAGTCCTGCCTGCTTCATTCCCTCAAAATGTTTATTTATCACTTGATACTCTCAGATATATGGTACTTCTTTATTACTGGATGTAACTGTGAAACTTTTACAAATCTCTGCACATGCTTGTTTTCTGAAACCAAAACACATTCATTGCTGCCTTAAAGTTCACAAGCTCTGCATAAATAACAACAAAACTGCACCAAACTTGGATTTGAGTTGCTGTAGAGAAATGCATTCAATTTGAAACTGCATATCAGTTTTCAGTTCACATCAATTTTAAAGTTTTACGTCTGTATGCAGATGTATTGTCTGGTCTATGCTGAAAATTATTTCTTTCCAGTTACTGAAGGAGCCATTTGATGTTCACATCAAAAAGTTTTTGAAGCATAATGTATCACAACCAATTCTAAAGTTGGGATTAAATGCAGATCCTTCACCTCAAGAATGTATGGAGGTAAGGAAGTTTTTAAGATCTGTGTAACTGTTGTTGAAGAATTATTCCTCTTCCAGTTCGCAAATTACAAGTACTGTGCACTCTTTGCCACCTTTCTCAGTTGCTCTGGTTTTAATACTGGGCAAAGCAATTTCAGTCTTTGGACAGCTTTTATTTTGAATATACTTTTTCAGTGTTATTGGGATTTAAACTGTCATAGAAGAATGAACTAAATCTTCTTAGTCTGAGCATAAAATATTTTCTTTGAAAACCCTCATGATTAAACACCATTAGGAAAGTATAGCTAGAATGATAATATTAAAATGTATTTTTTTCCATATTAGATTTGATGCTTGGTTTCTTGTCATGTAGTTGTCACCTGGTGTAATATTGTCACATTTTGTTTCAATTAGTCACTATATGCAAATTAGTGTAATTTTCTTCGCTTTTCTTCTTCTTCTTCTTCTGCTAAGTGAAGGGTTGAGTTATGACTTCTTCCACACTGTTTGTTTTATATAACTGATTTATGAAATGGGATGGTGCACATAATACATTGAGATTTTGCTTTCTGGCAATGTGTAATCTTGTTCACCTTTAATAGAAGCTTGAATGTCTGTGATTTTATGCTCTACTTCTGATAACATTCTCCATAAGTTCTCTTAATCAGCGTTATGTTGCATATAAACTTAAATCCTTTCCTTTTCAGTTGGTAAGCAGAACCACTCAGCTTTTTCGAGAAGAATACTTCCAGAGACATGATCGTGTTAGAGAAGAAATTGAAAGAAGGTAAAACACCTAACTAACAACAACAGAAGTAAACCCCCCAGGCTCTTAATCACTAATTCCAAAGTCGCCCATTGGACATGATCTTAAGCCAGTTCCATCCACTCCCATCCTTGCAATCATTTCCCATAATTGTTCTCCCATTCTTTCAGCCTTTCAAGTAATTTTCCAGCAATATAATTTGAGAATCTCAGAGCAGTGGAGCCTGTGAAGATTATTGTCTTTCTGGAGATGATGCCACTTAATCTGATAGATCATTACCAGCATTTCAGAGAAACTTTCAGCCTCTGTCTTTGTGCAGTACCCTGAAGATGGAGGCAGCAGTTTCCTCTGAAACTCTGGTAATGAACTACCAGACTACATGGCATCGCAGCTACCACTACTGTGGTTGTATTCCCTGTCTTCCCCACGATACAGTATGGCTGAGTCAGTGAAAAGCATTAATCCCACTAACTGTGTAGCAAGTGCAGATTCCAGTTCCTCCAGTGGTTAACATTTCAAGGACTACTCTCCCCAATGATAAAGCAGTCACAGTGTGAAGGTAACCACTGTACCACCATTCAGCATGCATCTTTATCGCATGGTGCTTAGTTAAGTGCAGAAGCAACTTTGCATTACATTACATTCCTTGTCTTCCCCATCCTCGCTAACACCTACAGCTGTTTTACTGGCCTTTGAATCAAGAATGGTTGAGAAACACCGAACAGAGTGCTGAGCAGCAGTGTGTATGTTGTCAGGGTCCGGACACTGCAAACTCTGAAACAGCATCAGCTGCAGGAGTTGGAGCTTATGGAGCAGGAGAAAATAAAGCTGAAACAAAGGGCTGAACAGCTGGCAGAGAAATATGAGGACACAAAGGATAAGCAAGAGGAATTAACAAAAAGGTAAGATGTAGATTGCAGAAGTAATTTTCTAGTAGTGAGTGAAGCTTCCCAGGGAACCAACCACATGACTCTTAGTGCCATGTGCTTGAACTTGGAATATCTGAAGAATATATTTGCTGTATTGTAGTATGTTTCTAAAATGTCATGCATCACTAGCATACAGATGGTCAAATGGTTCCACAATATGCTCTTAGATATTAGGAGCACAAGCAATAAGTGGGTGAAATAGCGACTGCATGGTCAAAGTGTAACTTCAACTATGTGAGTACTTCCATTTAACAGCATTCTGACATGATTTCCGTGTAAATACACAACAGTGAAGAGAACTGTTGTAATTTTTATATTATGTGTATCTAATCATTTGCTGTCATTTAATACTGTGCTAATGTCAAGTTGTAAGGTTGTTCCTACTTTTGGAAATGTAAAGAGAGGAAGGGTTGTGGGTGTTTGAGAACAGGGTGTTGAGGAGAATTAATGCAGTTTGATTTCAGATTTTTGTAATGTATGATTTGGACTGATAGAAATTGAATTAAATTTTCCAGACTACTTTTAGTGTAGATCCCCCCATACCATATTTCATCTGTTCTTTCAGTAGTTTATACAGACAAATTCAACCTTCCTTATAGGTATTCACTTTATATGTTTTGTACAGAGAATATATAAACATTTAAAACTCTTGTCCTAAACAAATTTTATTGTGTTTGTATGTTTGTACCAGGGCTGAACATGTTCTGTGCCTTGTGAGCCAAAGGCAGCCCGTTTTGTCATCAGCAGAGAACAAACTTCTGCAAGATATGAATGAGTTTAAAGAAAAGCTCAGAGAATTCCAGAAAGCTTTGGAACAAGTGAAAGCAAAACAGAACTATCACAAAGTGCAGGTATATTACAGAGCATTTTGTTAGGTGTAATTGAACCTTTCATGAATATGTGCATCTTCCTTTTCCTGGTTATCATAATTTGAAGATGCTCAAGCTAAGATTTGACTAATCATGCTCGAAATTATTAGATCAAAGGAAAAAAAGCCAAATTGCAGTGGTTACATGATTCAAGTGAAATATAAGTAGGGGTTATCTGAATAATATAAGATGTGAAGCTAGCAGGCATTTCAAGAATAAAAAGAGAGACAAAATTAATGAGCTTGCAACAAACAGTAAGAACAAGAACATTAAAGACCTGTATAGAGGAATAAATGACTGTAAGAGGGGTTACCAACCCCGAAGTAACTTAGTGAAGGATGAGAATGGTGATCTGCTTGCAGATTCCCATAGCATTTTGAATAGGTGGAAGAAACTTCCCACAGTTATTGAATGTACCTGAGGTCAGTGATGTTAGGGAGATATGAATATCTACAGACAGCTAGTTAGTTAGGCTGTTTAAATGAAACCTATAGTAAAGTCCATATCAGTAAACATTTTTCTGTTATATTTCCTATCCAAAATGGTATAAGACAAGGGATGCTTTATCACCATTAATTTTCAACTTTGCTTCAGAATATGCTTTTAGGAAGGTCCAGGGGAACCAGGTGGGATTGAAGTTAAATGGGACATGTCATCTGCTTGTTTATGCTGATGATGTGAATATGTTGGGTGGTAACACAGATATCATGAAGAAGCAGAAACTTTAATTGACGCTATTAAGGGGGTTTGTCTAGAAGCAAACACAGAGAAAACTAAGTATATGGGAGAGTCAGTAAATAGGTTACAAATGGATATATAGTGTAAAACATGGTATTTGAACCCGGAAAAAATGTATATTTCTCTATATATTCTCTACCAACATTGATGCACTTGTCCCATCGCTTTATCAGTGTGTCTAAACCTGCAGCATGGAAGTCTTGTGACTGTTGTGTCAGCCACTTCTGCACCTCTGTTTCAACCTCTTCATCATCAGTGAAACGTTTGCTACCAAGGTGTTTTTTTAGCAGACCAAACAGATGGAAGTCACTAGGAGCCAAGTCCAGGCTGTAAGGCTGGTGTTGAAGAAGTTCCCGTTGTAGTTCTTGAATTCTGTCCTGGGTTGCTCGGGCTGTGTGGAGTCTGACATTGTCATGACAAAGCAGTATCCCTCTTGCCAGTTGGCATGGATGTTTTCTGTGAATTGCATGCTGAAGATTCAACATAAGTTCATAGTATGAATCAGAATTCACATTTTCACCACGCTTCTGAAAATTGTCTAATAGTACTCCTGAGAACATCAAAACATGGTAAGTATAACCTTCCCGCTGATGGCATAACCTTGAACTTTTTGGTTGAAGGTGAACTGAGATATTTCCATTGCATTGAAGCATACTTTGATTTGGACTGGCAGTGATGCACTCAATGATTTGGCCCCAGTAATAGTCCTCTTTAAGTATATCTTCTCCTTCATCTACATACCGTAAGAGATGTTGCAAGGACAGACACCCCCCCCCCTCAGTTCTTCAGTTCTCTTGGAACCCACCATGCACACACTTCTGAAACTGCAGACGATCATGCATTATACTGTGTGCTAAACCATAGGAACACCCAAGTGCAGCTGCTACACTCCTTATCGTTATCCTTTTGTCAGCTTGAATCAACTCTTCCACCTGCTGCACAGTTGCTTCTGTTGCAGTCTCAACAGGACGACCTGGTCGGGAATCATCTGCGACTTTCAAGCTGATAGCTGCGTGCTAGAAAGATCAAGCATAGAGAGTTCCGCATGGTGATCATAACTATCATAAGAACATGGGTTATATGCTATACATATTTGAAGTAAACTACAGAGTAAAATTATGCACAACCGATGAAGTGATAGTGGCAGTCACTCATGACTTGCACTGTAACATAATATGACATCAATGAATTTTATGGTAATTTTCCTAAGGGTTAATATTTTCAAAGAGATCTTTAAGTATGATGTTACTACTTCACCTTCCTCTGTTGATATGAGAGCCCTCTATCTTACTTCCCCCACTACTCTTGTCTTCTTTCCTGCCACACAGATCTTTGCTTCATAAGAATACTATGCTATAACAGATGTTACTGTGATTTTCTTTAATGCAGATGGAACAGTGGGTGTCGAATCAGAAGAAAAGGGAACTGTACTTGGGACAGACTCATATGAAGACCATCAGAACTAATATGGCTCAAATGTAAGTGCTACATATGTCTCCTTGTGCTTATGCTGAGAAGAATGTATATTTCTGGCAGGAATTTATTGATTTTCTACATTTTGAAATAATTTCATATCTAGCAGTAGTCATCTCTCTGAATGTTCTTCCATTTTATATTCATCCAATATTAAAAACCATTTAATTGTTTTTTTAATTGAGGTGTCTTTATCTTTTCAGGACTAATGAGATTGCTGACCTTTTGAAAATGGTTGAAATTTCTAAACATGAGCTGGGCTTGTGATTTGACCAAGGCCATAGTAGATTATTATAATTAAAAAAAGTATTTCTTTCTCATGCATATAGCTATAAAAATTTTGTAATTCAAATATAATTCTTAAGACTTGCAGTTTGCTTAGTGCAGTGCCACATAAAATGTTTGAATTCCTGTTACTTACCATACTTCTCTTATGAGTTTCTCTGGAGACTGTTATAATAAAAAAATCAGAAAGATTTGAATTAATTAATTGTATATGGAATTACTGTACAGAAGGAAGAATTCAATTTCATTGCTATTTTTCTTTTATGTATTTTATGAACCTTCTAATAATGCTATCTTCTGGGATGTGATGCCGTGTAGTCCAGTGATAATTCACAGGTGTTTCAGAGGAACCTGCTGCCTCTATCTTCAGTATCAAAGAGTAAGTCAAGCAAGCAACCAGCAAGAAGGGAGTAGCAAGCAAAGGAATGTGCACAAACCTTTTCATTATACAAGTAGTTATCCTCAGTTTTCTTCTATCAAGAATTTGAGTTAATTTAATTTAATTTATAATTGTGCATCATCAAAAGAATTGGAACAGTAACCTCCCCATTAATAATCCATTCTTTGTCCCTATAGTGTTGAAAGATCATAACTTCAGACCCAACATTTGTCATGAAATAAGTTATTTACCTGCTCTCATTTAGGCCCAGATTATCTCAGTACTTTTGTTCCTAAACCATTTCAATCTATATTTTTCTATGGGGCCAAACACCATCTTTCATATCTATGTTAAACAGATGTAAGAATTCTATATTTCAGCATCCCTTTGCAATTGTTCAAATTAGCGTCCATTGTTTATCTTCTGTCAAAATTGCAACACTTTTACATTCTACACTTCAACACTACATGTTTTGTCCTCAAATGGCCATCTTCAGGTGTTTTTATGTTACAGATATTCTACTAAAACTGTGTTAAAATATCTGTAACATAAAAACACCTGTAGATGGCTGTTTGAGGCCGAAACATGTAGTGTTGAAGTGTAGAATGTAAAAGTGTTGCAATGTTGATGGAAGATAAAGAATGGATGCTAACTCAGATGTAAGAAGTTAATAATCATACATTTAGTCAAGAAATTTCCATATTTTCTGAAAGCTGAAAGTTTATTACTGTATTCACACAAACTAGATGAACACAGTACTTATCCTTGTACTATATTCAATATATCTTTTAATATTGTCCTCCCATGTCACCGAAGTGGTTTCTTTGCTTCAGGTGTTCCCATGTTAAATAATATTTATAGTTTTTATAGGTCATTATTGTTAATGATGCAGTCTTATGTAATGGTATGTAAGTATCTACAGGTTCTGTAGCATCATGATGTGCATGAAATACACATTAGTCTTTGAATACAACACCTTCGGAGTGACCTTGTTGTTGTTCAGCATAGTCCTGCAGTCTGGTACATCATTCTCTTGACGTAGCATGACATAAAGTAATCTGGTGCTGAAAAATCAGGCAAGTAGTTGTCCCCAACATGAGAAATAAGTTTAGCTGGAAACCGCTACCCGTGAACAGCCATGGAAAGCCATACTGAGTGAGCTGTTGCTTCATCTTGTTAAAACCACAGTTAATTAAGCTGACAGAAATTGAACTTGTTTTGCAGAATTGTTTTCATCAGTGCCATGTACCACTCAGCATTGACTGTTACATTTCTTCCCTCCTTGTCATCAAAGAAACAGGGTTCAGTAATGCCACCAGAAGAAACTGCGCACCACATTTCACTTTTGCATTATGCATAGGGCACTGAAGAAGTTCATGTGGGTTGTTTGCAGCCCAAAATTGGCAGCTTTGTTTGTTCACATAACCAGACATGTGGAAGTGGGCCTCATCTGAAATCAGTGATGAGTTCACAGTCCTGTCGTTGTTGTTCATCAGTCCAAGAATTGATTGAAAAACTGGAGTTGATTCGCCTTTCCTGTTCACTATGTTCCTGGGCAAGTTGGATTTTGTAGGCATGTTAATGCTAATCTTTGTGCTAAATTCACTGAATGTTGTCCTTCAAACCAAGCATGAGTGCTTGACACTGAGCTGACCTGAGGAGACTTCACAACATGGTTTCTCTTACTTACTCCAGATTATCGGGTACATGCAACGAACATGAAAATCTTGACATTCACTGTCTTTCGTTGATCATTCTTGACACCATGTCAGTGCCGACAACAGTGGAGTATTTAAGCTAGGTGCATCATGTGTTTGAAACTGTTGTTGAAAATCATGCTGTACAACCATAACTGACTGTTCTGATAGACAGTTCCACACCCACAATGCAGTGTTACATTGACCAACGCTATATCTCACCTAAACTCAAAGAACACTGCATGACAACTGTTAGTATGGAAGCATTGCTTAGTGGGAAGGATGGTAATTACATTTCAAAAACCATCAGGTATTTCTGGCTCACCCTGCATAACCATTTTGGCCCCTTATGTGTGTATGATAACCACCTATGCAGTTTTACTTAGGGCGCTGTTCTCCATAGATTGCTAAAATTTAATCAGACATCTAAGAGCCATTTTTTTTAGAGAATTGCCATGGTGTGTTTGGAGCCTGTTCAAAGTCGCCCTATTGTTGGAGCTAGAATGTTCATATTCACCAGATACAAACTTTGGCTGGATAAAATCTTATATATCAAAAATGAATAAAATCCAATCAGGTGTTCAGATGCTAGTGAGGGGCACATCTGTACAGACACAGAGGCTGTGTTACAAAAACAGCTGTTTCGTATTCATGGGTGCCAAAAACGTGGATATAAAAATCTGAGTGTTAAGTTTCTTCACCATTACAGTATCTGCCTATATGTATTACAATTTCAGATTCAGGGGTGATCAAAATCTGGAGATCAGTCCGTTCACTGTCACTATTGCTTGTATACACTGCATATATGAGAAAGTTAAAGTTACCTTAACAGAAGTTGAATATTTTTTTAAAATCTATTACCACACATCATTTCCGTAGTGCTAGTGAGACTGTTGCATCACAAGTGTGTACATCAACATTATTGATATTGTAGGAAGTTTAACAGTAGAACATTGAAGTGGAGTGGCATACTCACACAGTCATATGACATCATAATAAGTTTTGTGAAAACTAGTCAGCTGAGTTAAAAAGGGAAGCACATAGACTGCATGATCATCTCAGAAGCCCACTTTTTTCCTTAAGAAGGAAACTAGACTAACTATAGATCTTTTATATAAGTACACTGTTTAAATAAAAGGCATTTGTAATATTTGTTTTAATTTATTAAAAACATCCAAGGATGAAATGATTAATTTTGTGTTACATTGAAAAATGCAGACAGTAAGAATTATATTTAAAAATACAAAATGGCAAATTAATGAATTATTTACATGGCTTAAGGGTATCGTATGAAATATGATATGCTTGAGAATTTTTGTAGTTTTAGCGTCCCCCATATCCTTTACGGATTTATGAGTGGACCCCAGAACACTTTGCTGGGTTTATGTTGATCTTCTGTCAGGAAAAATTCTTGGCCAAGCTTCACAAACTCTTCTAGGCTCAAGCACCCATCTTTATTGATATCAATTGTTGTAAAACTGTGAACTGCATCCTGGAGACAGAGAACAAAATCAAAGATTCAGTTTAGTGGCACTGTATCATTTTACCTGACATTGCAGACCATATAACATGGGAAAACTCTTTGAATAATTCATCACCATACATCTCAGTATTATGCTTAGGTCTTCTGTTGATGTAGCAGGTGCTTTATCAGTTTGAATTTTGTATGTCTTGAGAGTGATGATGGTTTAAAAATGTGGTTTATGACATCCATAATTTGTATAGTGTTGCCTATTTTTATACTAGTATGTTTTCTCCATCATAAGACAGAGATTATACAGTAGAGAATTATGAGTGTTAACTTATTCCAAATCAACTGCTTAAACTGTTTTGAGTTTACAATTTAAACTGTATTGCTTCAGAATATTTTATAGAGATATGCACATCTAGTTTGCACAGTATTGCATTTTGTATCATGTTATGGTCCTGTACAGCATGATTCACTAGGAGGAGACTCCAGTTTAATGATTATAAATCTCACAGTAATTTCCTGTTGATAACAAAACTTGGCAAGTACATACATACAGAAGAGGCTGAAATTGCCTTCTCTTCACCTAGAAACACTGGTTGACATAGTGCTCCATGTTTGTGAATATTGTAGTCAGCATGGCAGAAGGGATTGCAACAGTTCTGTTGGTAATGTATCTTTTCAGGCCAACAGTGAAACCCCACACCCAGTTGCTTCCTTGAGACTGCAGGATTTCTGCTGTCTCTCATCACATGCTGTTCTCTCTCTTCTTCCTGATTATTACCACTCACTTCTTTGTTTTCTCTCCTCGCTTCTAAAACACTCTGAATGGCGTCTTACTTGATTCAGCAATGACAGTATTGCTATCAACATCCATGCAGTTGTCAATTCTAACTTCTGATGGGACATCAATTTTCTTGCCTAACTGCTTTCAGCAAAGATGGAGACAATGTTCCCTATACCTCTCATTCATTCCAAGTTACAGAATGCTGGCCTTGCACCAACAGTTTGAAATTTTGGTCAGACTTAGGCATTTGCAACTGGCACAGAACATCTTGACAGCTTCCAGCACATTGACAGTTGCCACATCAACCAGTGAATAAGCCAGGCACGATCTGCAGCTTGGGTTTATAGCGCAAACAGTCCCCTGGTCAAGTGCCTGCAAGATATGTGACTGGGTGGCAGGCATATCATTTAAACATTAACTGAATGTCACGGTTATGGGTTATGCCCTTATATGGTATGCAGTTGATGATTAGCAGAAGAAAATTGTCCCTTTTCCCAACAGAAATGAACCACTTCTAAAACACAGTGCCTGTCATCCATGCTTTCTTCCTGTGATGACTGTCACATGGGAGATGTATGTAAGGTACTGAGAGTTCTCTGGTCTGTATAATCAAAGTTTCATTTTATCAATTCCTGTGAAGGTAAGATAAAGTTGTCCCTGTGCTCAACAAATTAAGCACTATACCATGAAGGCATATGGGGGAGTGGGTGTATAGATCACATTTATAAATTCCTGTATAATTTATAATTCAGTCTTTCACCACTTTCCTTCAGTGTACCTTATGCCCTTGAAAGGTAATGTTTTATTATACACTAATTTAGACAAGAGCACTGTTTCATCAGTTTTGTACACATGTTGGCAGAAATCTGCAATCTTGGCCTTGGCTCAGTAACTAGGTGTGAGGGTGAGAGGGTTGAAAACAGGTTTCCTCTACCCAACATGCTATTTGGCAAGCAAAATGATCACTGTATGGCATGCTTTAGACATTAGTGGGTTGTTTTTCGTTAACATGAAAAGCTGGTGAGGGCCAAGCTGGCAAATTTGTAATGGGAACTATGCACATCTTCAGCTGCATACTGTTTTAATAATTCTTGTAGTTGTTGTTCTGTCCGTAACTCCACCACGTCTCCTGAAGCACTGCCCTCTCTGCCATCAATTATCCTCTGACTTATGCCACCTCCTAATTGATGGAACTACCGACTGCTACCTTTAAATACCAAAATTCCCAACAAGTGAGCAGAACATCTTACTTGCTCCTATGCCAATGAACCATTCATATGCAGCTTTATCTACCTCATAATCTGTTGCCTATATTAATTTCTTTTGTTGCCTGATGGTGTTGGAATGTATCTTTCCCTCATTCTTTCCCTGCTCTTAGTGATCTAGAGAGAATTGATGGGCTGTTTCCATCTCTTGTTCCCTTTCAGCCCGACACCTCTTTTCTCTTATTTCTTCTAAAATGTTGCATTTTTCTTCCAAGGAAAACTGCCTGTGCTTTCTTTTCCCCCACCTCCATCCCTTCTCACAAACTCACTCCTACTACTCAAGTTCATGGAAACTGCCTGCTGGGCAAAGACTAGTGGGCAGGCAGCACAGGTAGAATGGACACCCACCAAACCATCTCACTGCGCTGCAAGCATTACGGCATTGCCAGACTGTGCTCACCATCCCAACAAAGCTTGTTCTATACCAAATCATTTAGTTTGTAAAAAAACAGATTTCCTTATACCAATCATATTTTGTCTTGAATCAGATTTTAATTAATGCATGTTAATCATATTTGAGTTTATTATAGTGGAAACAGTTTGGTCTAATGCGTACAGGAAAATGGTGGGTGACTGATGATATTTTAGTTCTATTGGGTATTTTGTTAATCTGCCACTTTTTGTACAGACATTTCACTGTAGACTGAAGTACTGTAAGAAAAATAGATATCTAACATTTTATTTTTTAAAGAAGTTTTATTTTACCTTTTCCTCCAGTCCGAGACATTCAAAGAACAGTTTGAACTCTTCCACTGATATTACTCCATCCTTGTCTCTATCCACAGCCTGAAACACAGACCAATCATACAAATGAAAGCAGCCACAAAAACAATTTTTTCAATACATGAACTTAATTTACAAACTGTGTTCCATGAGATGTTTTTAGTGGCTGTGCTTGTAATTCTCTAATGATAGACTTCGTTGGCATTGCCAGTTTATAAGGTAGTTATGTACTACAATTATTTGTTGTTTGTCTGTATTTGTAAATCAAGGTACTTTAACATTTACAATGTTGACGTTATAGTACTATTACTACTACTGCTTATTTCTCATTATTTATAATAATCCCACATGCATAATATGTTTAAATTGGAGAAAAATGCAAGTGGTGCCTGATATGATTTCATTATTTATAATACTGTGACATGAATGGCGCAACAGGAAGTAGGGGTCACGTGAACTATGCGTTTTGTGAGTGATGTCACATACCCCCAATCCTTCCATCATTACCCAACACGTTACAATACTTTTCCATATGCTATGAAATATGTTTAAATTTCAGGAACGTGCAAGTAGTGCCTGATATGGAACAGATTATGCAAAACAGGAGACCTAAGAGATTAGTGATTACCCCATTAAAGCAGAAATGTTACATTTAAACTGCATGTAGACATGGAAAATGTGGCAGTATAATATGTCTCTAATTTACAAGTGGGTTGCATTCCAAAAGAATGTTTTTTAATTATTTCATTTGGAGTTTGATTTCCCATAAACATGTTAGAAACTGTGGTTAAGTTCCCAAGTCATACAATTCATGACAATCAGGCTGAAGTCAATTGTCATCCTGAAGTGGAACCAGATTTATCAATTCACAATTCTAAAATACAGTAAGCCCTCATTATAATGGATTTCTGATATAATGGACAAAACCTGGCTGTATACAATTGTGAATTATTACAAATGTTGAGGCCCTAAGATTTAGTACGAGTAGTTAGAAAACTATTTAAAATAAAAAGCGCCCAAATATAAAAACCTTCATATAATCACATTGTGTGTTTCTATGTTTATACCATGTACTGACTATGTATCCTATGGTGTACTTTGATGAGAAACCTTTCATTTGGTTTTAGTGTACATCAGCAGTAACGGACTCCTGTGCCACTTATTAGTTTGTTATATTGAGGGTTTAGTGTATTTTGTTAGAAATAAAAGTAGTAAACATGACACTAGAGGAAATAATATATAGTGCTGCCTGGATTAGTAGCTATTTCAGAGTCATTCACTTCATTTTGAGACGGCAGTCTTAGTGTGTCTAATAAACTACAACAATATGTTAAATCTGTGAAGTATATAGTCTAGTTCACCTTGAACAAGTAGGGCAGGAAATTATGAACTTTCCTCTTGAGAGATGGATCACTGAGAACATGTTGCATGTTCTCCAGGTATTGCTCAGTTTTCACCAAATTATAGCAATCTGGGGCACCCCACTGTTTTTCCCACACTTCCTGCAACAAATCATAACACTGAGATGAAGTTACCTATAGCAATCATATTATTCTTATCCATTTACCTTACTGCATTTATGAGCATTAAGTTCCGTGACAAAATATCTATTATAACATAGAAGAATAAAGTAAAGTTTCCTGTATATTTGGTGGTTGTAAATTTGTAAATTGTACCTTTATACTTTGAATTTCATTCAGGGTGCTTCCACTCTAAACACTTTCTGAAGTAATGTTAGGCAAGCCAAATGTCATTTCATCTGTAAATACCTCTTACATTTCTTACTTGATTGTTACGAGCTGTAGGTTATTGGGTATGTAATGTCCTGGATGTTGAATTCTGGTAATTCAAACACTGGTGTCACGGTCACATTTTAGCCTTCTTTCCTTATTTTGAAAGAAAAAGGAGACTTATGAGATCGCCTTGCTGTCTGTGCATTCCCCATATCATTGCTAGGCAGTGACTCAGTTGCTAGCATGTGTTTATGATAACTGGTAAAACCACCTGGATTGTAACATTTTTCAGAGGATCTACTGGAACTGATAATGTAGCTGACAAAGTTAATGTCATTAAATATTATTTATAAGGTAATGCTTTGTGGGCCGGTCACGGTAGCCGAGCGGTCTAAGGCATGCACTGTCTTCGCTCACTCGGAAGCCGGGATCGTGGGTTCGAATCCCACTCAGGGCACGGATGTTTGTGTGCGTTTTTCTGCTTGTGTACAGGTAGAGGCCTTCCGACAAGCTGATCACCCACCCAAGGAGTCCTACCGTGTGTCTAAGATCTAGAAAAACCGAAGTGAACGGAGAAGTTCATAGAGGTAGGCCTAGGCCCACTGGGGCTGTAGTGCAAAGGAAAAAAAAATCTTTGTGGAGCAACAGTATGTCAGAGTTACATTCAATGATTCAGTCTGAATAGAACCAGAAGTGTACACAGATAAACAAATGTCATGAGATAAACTTATTATACATGTTTTCTTCATGTGTTTTTACTTATATGGTGAGGCTAATGGGAACTTAAATATTATACAATTCAGTGGTTAATTTCTCTGCATTGTTTCCACTAATAGAGTTTCTGACTGTTAAATTTATTAGATATCCTTCTATTTACATATACACAATAAGAAAAACTTGGAAGTTCTAATCACCTGCTTTCCTTTCACTGCAATTTGATTATCGATGCTACAAGTAGAAAAAACTTAACATATATATATGTGTAATGCTGTCAGTAAAACAATACAATGTAAGAGGCTGGAGTGTTGATGTTATTGATGGGAGAGTCTTATGAAGTGTGCCATTGAGATGGCTTAAGGTGGCATGATGGGTTTACATGCCAACATTTATGTTGATTGGTTGCGGCATTCAAGTATTATTAAGGTTATTACCTCAGTTTAAGAGGCTACAGTGTTGATGATACTGATGGGAAGGATGTATGAAGTACACCACTGAGACAGCTGGCATGATGTGTGTGTGTGACAAATGGTTTAGGCATTCAAGTAATGTGAAATTTATTGCTTCAACAATTTGAGAGGCTTCAGTGTTGGTATTACTGATGGGATGGATTTATGAAGTATGCTGTTGATATGCTTCATGCAGCATGATATACATACCAAGTTTCTTAGAGATCAGTTCAGGCGTTCAAGTTATAAGGGAGTATACACATACAGTCACAAATGAAATTGGGCTAAAAATGTAACTCAGTGTTGAGATGAAAGCTCTGAAACTACAGAGTTTGGAGTTACCTTGGCAACAAACTGTTGAACATTGACATGTTGCATGAATGTAGGTTATGTTGTAGGTCACAAATGAGCAAACAGTCTTTCATTTCAGCGTGTAATGTGTATTCTGTGAGTCCTTACAAAATTTTGATGTGGATATGTGAAGTGTAATTTATTATATAAGGGAGATGATTTGCTATTGACTGTTTGTGCATGATACTCATGGGAGGTGGCATTTGACAACTTGTGGGGCAAGGAATATGGAAGAAAGCAGGGGAAGCTAACAGTACAAAACCATGTAGAACAAATGATGTTATACATTACCGAAAGATAAAAAATTAAAGGTGGCTAATGTGAAGTGGCATCTAGTTTGGACCAAAGAGAGAGGGAACTGACAGTTGGATAGTTAAAAACTGCATAATGGGGAGCTTTATAATTTTTATTCTTTGCCAGATAGTACTAGTATGATCAAATCAAGGAGGATTAGATGGGCTGGGCATGCAGCCTTCATGGTGTAGGTGAGAAATATATACAAAATTCTGGTCAGAATCCTCAAAAAAAAAAAAAGAGAGAGACCTCTTGGGAGACATAGACCTAGATTGGAGGATAATATTAAAATGTATGTTAAAGAAATAAGATTTGAGGGTGTGGTAATATACCTTTTTGTGGTCCAGAAAAGACGGGGAAGTTCTTGGCCATTTGAGTGCCTGTCAGCTTCTCAAGAAAGATGCTGCTCCATGGAGTGTCAGATGGTTAATTTTAGAAAGCTTTCCTCACCTTTAGGATCTCTTGAAACTCCCTTTCTTGATTTTCTGATAAATGTCCCAGGGTAACAAATCTCTTTGCCAGAATGAGAAAATCATCATAGGATACAATGCCATCCTTATTGACGTCAATTACACCATGAAAAGTCCTCATCTTGCGAAGCCAAAACTCGCTTTTTCCCTGAAATGTTTGAGAACATGAAGTTAATATCAGGGGCAGACTTTTAACCCTATAATTTTCATTTGTGCTTTTACTCTGTTCTGAATTTGAAGTAATAACTTCTTCACTGTTTTTTTTTTTCTTTTTCATTCTGTGAATCTCAAAGTACAACCTCTGCAAGTAAATTTGTGTTGTGTACAACATATGTTCCTTATGTAGATAACGTTTCCACATAGCAACATGCAGGGGTTTAAAAATTAAATTCACTTATTGGGGGGTGGAGTCCAACTGGGTCCACTTGGCATGGTGGCCACTGTTTGGCCTATTGTAGGCTGCCCCGGATGATTATGTTGATGGAATGAAGATTGGCAGGGGAAACCGAAGTACTTGGAGAAAACCTGCCCCAGCACCACTTTGTCCACCACAAATCCCACTTGACCAGACCCAGGATTGAACCGGGCTGCCACAGTGGGAAGCCAGCGACTAACCGCTTGAGCGATGGTGTGGCCCAACAACATGCAGGGGTTAGAGAAATTAATGAAAACGCTACAGGTACTGTACACATTTCTTTATTAATATGGTGCTGGACCACAACATTTGATGATTCCATACTTTCTTTTGCTCTTGTATACGAGGTAAATCAATCCAAATTATTACTTACAATTTATTTTGTTATTATTAACACAGAAAAATTATTCAAATATATATATATGCCTATATGTCTCTACTGCAAGCAAGGAGCAGGACTATAACTTCTCATTTACTTGTTTTTTAATTATTTTTAATTGTCTAAAGCTAATATTTTCCATAAATTACCAGTGCCAGTGAATAAAGAAACACAAAATAATGTTTTTATCAACTTCTGCATCTTTAACTGTGCTGAAGTGAACTGAATTAAAATAAAGCACACCAGACAGGGCTGGCCCAATAGGACAGCAAACCAGAGGCCAAAGGTTGGTAGTGTAAATATTATTGAAAGAATTATGTAAATATTCTTTTAGGTGCCAAGTGTAAATCTTAAGAGCACTTTTACTGTTTTACCTGGGATCTAAGACCAGTCGGTAAGTTCCGGGGTCCAGTTTTATTACCAGTCAGGCCCTTCCCCCAGCCCAATGAAGGGCAGTATCCTATAATAAAGCCACATTCTTTGCAATTCATGATTCACAGTTTTCCCTGTATGAAACTATATTTATCTAACCTATGAAGTTCACAAAGTGTCATTAAATAAACTAAGAAAATGTTATGTGTTATCCATTAGTCCCTAAATTATGCTACAACAGAAGTATTTAAAGAAGTTAGTTTTTGCATGCAATTACTAATAAATGGGTTTTGTAGACTAAACAGACTGAGGATACTTGGACAGAAGTAATTAGATAAATACAAAGGGCGGCCATGGACAGCCTTTCTTTTCTCTTTGGATGCTTACCTTTTCTCTCTGATGGTGGTTTCTGGAATCAGAATCAGAATCAAATTCTGTCTCAGGGTGCTTATGACCATAATGTCGTGATGCAAACTTGGTTATCTGAAAAAGAAAATAATCTGCTGACATTGATCGCTTACACCACATTTAGGCTCAAGTGGTTAGCCGCTGGCTTCCCACCTCAGTGGCCCAGGTTCGATCCCGGGTCTGGTCAAGTGGGATTTGTGGTGGACAAAGTGGTTCTGGGGCAGGTTTTCTCCGAGTACTTCGGTTTCCTTTGCCAACTTCATTCCACCAAATTCTCCATTATCATAATCACCAGGGGCAAGCTACAATAGGCCAATCAGTGGCTACCATGCCAAGTGGACCCAGTTGGACTCCACCCCTCACAAAGCGAATTAAAAATAATTAATTACACCACATTTCGTCTGATAGAGTGCTTTGTCTGAGGCACAATAATGATACTTCCATAGTTGTGCCTACTCCTGTCTTCAGGTGAATGATTCTGATTGATACTGTGAAGACTAGTCATACCCCTTAGTTTCATGATGTCTGGAGTCTTGCTCTCTACGAGCTTCTCTAACATGTGAAGAGTTAACCTCTCTCCAATTAAAAATGTAGTAATATCCATCCCTGTTGTCACACAAATCAATGCGTTATGGGAGCAGTTGCATAATCACTGCACTTTCCCTGAGTTTGATGTGACTTCAGTACTCTATATTGTTTGATGATCTTCATACTTTGTATTATAATATTAGATAGTAAGAGCATAAGAACCCTAGATTTGGGTTGGCACACAGTTTTTGTCTGGTTGCTGCTAGAATTTATGCTGATCAGAGTCTTGTCTTGCTGGCTTTGCAAAGAACACATATATTGTGTAGTGAGTAATAGCACTTAATAATTGGAATTCACACTCAGCTAGCCAACTGTCATCACCACTTAATTATTACTCTAAGCTTGGGCACCATAATTTAGTCAGGATCACAACATTTAGAGATAGCAAAATCTGCTAATCCATATCTAGTACAAAGAAGGCGACTTAATGCTAACTGCTTCGACTTGTATTATCTAAAAGCAGAAGTATAACCAACTCCTTTAAACATGTTAATCCTTTAGGTATCACTGTGATAACCATCATTACCACATGCTCCAATGTTAAATACTGCAGAATTTTTTTACACATAATATAATTAAGGGCATTACTTCAATCTAAAAATAAACAACAGTAGTTTCCTTGAATATTTGTAATGGAGATGAGAAGTTTTCTTGATGATAGGAACCTGATTAATCATACCAGTTGTATGGGAGATACATGTAGCACGCATGGGAAAGTTGAGGAGACACATTAGTTTTGATCCAAAAATCTCAAAGGTGGCCACATGGGAGATGTAGGCATAGATAGAAGAATGTCAAAATTGACCATCAAGAAGGGTGTGAAGATTGGGGTTGGATTAAACTGGCCCAGAACAGGGCTCATTGGCAAGATTTTATGAGTATAAAATGTCAGTTCCTTAGAAAAAGAATTTCTTGGCTAGACAAGTAACTCTTAACTTTTCAGGAAAGATCCTGCACCATTAATGTAATTATTTCTAACATGTTACGAAGATTCATAAGTAATCATCACATACTGAAACAATCTGTACTGCCCCCCTGCTATTTTTTTACTTTCATACACAGTTTCAAGAAATTAAACTGCCTCATCTTCAAGGACATACCACCATAGAAAGAGTTCCAGTATTGTACAGTGAATAACACTATTGTTATTCAAACCCCCCAAGTTTGCAGTGCTGCTATATTGATGTACTGATGACAAGAAATCCCAAGCTGAAGCACTTCCAGCTGCATTATCTTTCATACAAAGATTCACAAAAATTTATAAATTAATGTCTGTAAATTTCTCTGGAATTTAATGAAGTTAAGGATAGGCATACCTGAACCGTTAATGGAGTTTCAATGCGACTTTTTTATTTAGTAGGCCACGCCATAGCTCAAGCGGTTAGTCACTGGTCTCCGGCTGCCTGGGTTTGATCACGGGTCTGGTCAAGTGGGATTTGTGGTGGACAAAGTGGTGCTGGGACGGGTTTTCTGCGAGTACTTTGGTTTCCCCTGCCAATCTTCATTCCATCAAATTCTCCATCATCATAATCACCTGGGGCAGGCTACAATAGGCCAATCAGTGGCCGTCATGCTGAGTGGCCCCATTTGGACTCCAACCCCCACTAAGCGAATTGTTTAGTAACCCCAAAAAAGCAGATGTCCCTGGTTCTTAACCAGTGGCTCCCTACAAGGGCATATAATTCCAGTCTAATGTTGCAAACATTTTGGACAAACAAGTTTCGTATGAAAAATATAAAATAACACTTTTATTTTTTTATTATTTCTGAGTCCTTTCTTATAATGTTTTCTGTGTTTCTTATGATAGGTCTAAATATTCCCATCACTTTCTTGGGTTCATTGGTCATAAGGAATTAGCAGATAGCCACCCACATTACTGCAGTTATTTGTTACAGAATTACATGTTACATCATTGTGTAGTAGCCCATAACATGCAGGGTTCGAATTATGCATCTTTATGGCTTCAACTAGGATAACATCAGCCCCTGTAGCCAGCATCAAGATTAGATTTGTTATTAGGTCACCAGTATCCACTGCTACTGTTAGCCTATACCATACAGTAAAAGGTAAAGTTGTACCTGTGCTTAACTAATTAAACACTGTGCCATGAACGCGTATGGGGGAGTAGGTGTATAGGTTCTCATATTCTTGACCTCGGCAGTAGTTTCAGTGAGTGGTCAGTTTCACGTCCCGGGCGCTTTACTCCCAGAAGGCATTGTATAGGAGGCTGGGTGGGCACCAGAGCCGGTGTCTGGACGACGTAGAGAAAATTCCTCCCCTAGCAGAACTCGAACTCCAAACTTTCGACCATCCAGCCCGTAGCCAGTCGTTATACTGACTGGATGGAACATGGCAGTATGCTTATGAATGAAGTACGAATAAGAGATTACCGTAAAAGCGGTCTTAGCGCGAAATGAGGTACGGAGGAACACTACTGAAAATTTCGGGAGGCGGAACCTTCCAAATGCAAGATTCAGCCATATTTTTGTTATTTCCAAAACAGTTGCTCCCTAAACATGTTATCTTAAGTGTATATATGTTACCATCGCCAAACCGTCATAATAAATATTTGTGTGTTCTAACTAATGACCGCCTTTGTTGTCCGTTGGTCAGAGTTCCTGGCTACATATCCAGAGGTCCCCGGTTCGATTCCCGGCGCTACCAGGTTTTCTGAGAAGTAGTGGGTCTGGAATAAACGTAAATAATGGCGTATGCGGATGATATTATTATAGTATCGAGATCCATAGGAGCAATGAAAGAGATATATAAAGAAATAAATACCATAGCAAGAACAACTGTCTTAGAGGTGAATGTAACTAAAACCAAAATGCTGATACAATCCAGAAGGAATCCAAGGCAAACTGGAGAAATTAACGTGGAAGGGGACGGGATAGAAATAGTTAAAGACTTCACAAATTAGGATCGAAATTCCACAAAGATGGAGAGGAAAATCATGAAATAACCAGAAGAATAAAACTAGCGAATAATGCATATTTCTCTTTACTGTCAGTTTTTAGATCAAAGGATATACACCGAGCGATTACAACAAAAATATATAAAACAACGATAAGACCGGTGCTTTATTATGAATGTGAGGGTTGGACGTTAAACAAGAAATAGGAATCAGTCATCAATTCATTCGAGAGGAAAATCCTAAGACGAATGTATGGACCAATAAAAGAGAATGGGATATGGAGAATAAGATATAATAAAGAGTTATACAAATTATATAAGGAGCCAGAGATCTCAGTGACGATAAAGCTAAAAAGATTGCAGTGGGCTGGGCATGTACAGAGAATGGATAAGGAGCGTATCCCAAAGAAAATATTATACAGTACAACAGGCGGCAGGAGACGCGCAGGGAAACCAAGAACTCGATGAATTGATGCGGTGGAAGAAGATGCGAAGCTGTGAATGAGTGTAGGGAACTTGAAGAGAGCAGCGCAGGATAGAGAGTGGATAAGAAGAAGAAGAGGGTCTGGAACGGGGTCCACACAACCTCGTGAGGATAAATGAGGAACTATTTCAAGGAAATAGCGGCTCCGGTCTAGAAAAGCGAGATTAACGTCCGTGGGGATCCGTTGCACTAACCACGCGACACCCTCTATCCGCTAAAGTTGGCTCTAACTTCGCCAAGCGGCGGTCGCTCGGTCGGTATACTTCGCTTGCGGACTACAGGCCACGGATTTTGTGTTCTAACTATTATGTCCCTTTATTTGAAATCAAAAATTTGATTTTATAAGTGGAGTACGTGTGACTGAGGGTGGCCGGATCAGTGAACGCTGCAGTTTCGAAGCCAATAGGATATGCATGACCTCTCCATTGCGTTTATTTAATGTCTGCAGGTCTACTCTCAGTATCACCCATCGACTTCTCTATTGCCGGTATTTGTCTACTCCTGTTTCTTCTCTATTTGCTCTCGTATTCTCATCAACCAACACTTAAATACGTCGGATCAAAGTTTTCAGGCCTGCGTCAACTATGACAAACAGAAGAGTGTAAACATCGCTATCGGTTTACAAAACAAGTGCGTTCGTATGGTCACACGCCAGCCCCTTGTTCGAGTCATGGTCTGCAGTAACTGAAACGAAAGATTTCCTGTCTAATGCTGTTTCCAAAGGAACAGCAGTAATATAAGAAAGTGCTGGATGATATGTGTAAAGTTTATTCCTCTGAGCCTTGTACACGTAGAAGGCTGTCAGTTTCAGTGAAAGGAAATCAGTTGCTTATTCATCTACAGTTTATTTTATTATCCAGGAGCCGGTATAGCTCAGTTGGTATAGCCGGCTGCAAAAAACCGGGGTTCGATTCTCGGCAGCGACATGAGAATTGGGGCCCTCTCAGCTTCATATCCAGTTGGTACCAGGGATTCTTTCCCCTGGGGTAAAGTGACCAGGATGTGACGCTGACCACTCACCTTCATCTAGTACCGAGGTCAGGAATGGTGGAGCTAAAGATAGTACTTTTCGTAAACACAGCTATAGGAA